CCTCCAGTGTTTATGTTATATGTTATACGCCACACGTCCCGGGATATGTTGTTATTAAATAAATCATTTTTAAAAATTAAAAAAAAATTTTTTTTTGAAAGGTAGCTCTACAAGCATCATCTATAATTCACACACACAACCACTCAGAGATGCAATATAAATATAGGTAGATATCTCAGTAGTCTCTGTAGTCCACAAAATGGAATAATATTAACAATTTGTGTTTTAACATTTTACTTTCAGTTGATGCAAATATTTTCCTTGTCTTTAAATATCCTCCGACAATTTAGTAAGTCAGAGGTTTTTATCACATAACACTATGAAAATGTATTTCCTCAATTCCCAACTACTTGAGTGTTCGTAGCACCTCATTTCACAAAGCTCTTCAATGAATGTCGTGTTCATACGTATGTGAGCCCATATATAATGATTTCTTTGTTCTTATTAGGGCATGACTTGAGAACTGGAAGGACTTAAGAACTCTGTAAGCCTGCCCCAATGATGTGCTTCCTCGGCATGGCCAAAACAGTGCCACTAAGCAGAATCAAAATGTTCAAATGCTTGGAACTTATGGGGGGGCATTCTCGTTCAAACCACCACACCCACTGTGCTAAAATTCAAAGTTAGCCTGAAAACTTTTATAAATAATGTCAACATTGGGCTGGGGAGATGGATTAGTCAATAAAGCACCTGCCACACAACCATGAGGACCTTAAGTTCTAGTCCCTAGAATTCATGCAAAACACTAGGTGTTGCTTCTGTGACCCCAGTGCTGGAGGTATAGAAGAGACACGAGGATCCCTGAAGCAGATCGGTTAGCCAGACTAGTGAGGTCAAAGAGCTTCAGATCCTGGCTCAAAAGATAAGATGGAGAGTGAGACAGGAAGACATCCAACATTGACTTCCAGCCCCCCTACACACACAGAGAGAGACGGGGGAGGGGGCACACCAGCATTCTCAAGTGCACATGTCCACACTGACCACACTACGAAGAACATATACCACATACATGTCAGTTATACCTAATAAACATGAATATAGTTATACTTCACATTTTATTTCTCCACTTAACACCTGTGCTTCCTGTCTGCAGAGGGAAAATTGGAACAGAAAGACTTAGGTCCTTCCTTGAATTTGGCAGGAGTAATCCATCAATTCTGCATCCATGCACTTGAAGTGGATGCTGCTGGAGTCCTGGTCAGAACTCTTCTTCAGGCCACTGTGCCCTCAGCTGTAGGGCTGTTATAGACAGTGACAGCTGCCACAGCTGCCGATTGCTGAGGGCCATCCTGCACTGCTAGGTGCCACTGTGCCTGGAGAGACCTGGCAAGTTGTTCCTTCAAGGGGTGACCCTGACCCCACGCCATGCAGACCCAATAGAGTCAGTGACAACAGTAGTGGCCTCAGGGTGGGTGAGGCCACAGCTCCCTATGCACTCAGCTGCAACTGGACTTTGACTGAGACCACTTTCCAACTGCCCTTCCTCCGTTTCTGTTTGCCTCACTTCCCTCTGAGAGCTCAGGAATCACTATGTCCAGTTCTACATCTAGTGAGTCCAACATGGCTAGGAGCCTATTTCTTTATAACAAAATACAAAAATAAATGAGTGTTCCTTTTGAATTTTTGTTTGAGAACTAGAAATGAAATATTTGACAATAGTACATTTTTAAAATTACAGTTTTTTAGGTTAACACACAAAATAATAGATTTGATTTTGGGATCTTCATGTATGTACTTTGTTCTGAGTCATTCCTTTCCCCCTGCTTTCTGGTTCCCTTCTGCCCCTGAGAAGTTCCCAATTCTATTCCTGTCTCTCCTCCCCCATCTCCATTAAGATCTTTTCGTCTTCTCTCGTGGTCTCCTATCTACTTTCATCACACACACACTTAAATTTAGGTTCTGCATATGAAAGAAATCATGTAATATTTGTCTTTTCGAGTCTAGCTTATTTTGGTCAACATAATGATTTCCAGTCCCATCCATTTTTCTGCAAATGTCACAATTTCATTTCCTGTGTGGGTGCATGCATGCGTGCATGTACCTGTGCACATTCACACAGAGGCTAGAAGAGGGCATCAAGTGTCTCCTCTGTCACTTTCTACCTTAGCCCTTTGAAGCAGGCGCTGTCCCTGAACTGAGAGCTCACGATTTTTTGGCTAGGGTGGCAGCCAGCAAGCCCTAACAGTCCTTCCCTCTCCCATAGTACTGGAATTACAGGCAGGTGTTCGGACAACACCTGGCTTGTTAAGTGAGAGCTAGGCTCTCAACCCAGATCCCGTAGTTGTGCAGAAAGAGCCCTAAAACCATTAAACCATCTCTGCAGCCCTTCCTTTTATTTCTTTTATGGCTCAATAAAATTCCATGAATGCATGTAACAGCTGACCAGTGAAAAGTCTCAATAGGGCCTCAGCA